TGGTCCTAGAAAATCCAATCATTATTAAACTCCCCATGAGAAAAATAATTCCAATTTGAACAGCACCAAAGTTTGAAACGCCTAAACATGAACAAAGTTTGATACCAACCACAGCTCCAACAGCTTTCGAAAACAATGCTGTCCCAAGAAAATAACCAATAACAGATGACTCCCAGCAGAGAGGGTCTCTCTTACCAAAGAGAACCAACAATGTTTGTACAACAAATCCAGCTAAGTAAACAACAACTGCACAGACGAGGAGAGTGATGAGGACCCAACGTCCCAATCTCTTCTTAAAGTAAACTGTAAAAATGGTTTTAATACTATTGCAGGATAAGACTGCTTTGTTCTTCTTTAGTTCCTGGGGTAATGATTCAGGGAGAAGGATTACAACATACACAAGATTGAGTAAATGTAAAGACAGTATCACCAGATATATAGACTGGTAGCCATAATTCTTGATCCATACTCCACTGACAAAATACACTACTGTTCCACAAATAAATGCAATAGCTTCTAGAATACCAAGCCTTAAAGCTCTGGAATCTGGTGGGGATGTATCTGCAACATACGCAAGCAGTGCAAGAACCATAGTAGGATAATAGCCACCTAGGCCAGCCAATGCACTTGCTGTATGTAAGAAAATTAACAGAATTAACATTAAGAACAATTATAATAAATAAATAATAAATGGATCTAAATGCACTCTTTCCAAGCTAATGTCAGATTGGGATGATTACGAACAACTACATACATCTGACTTAGAGGTGGGAGAGAACATACTGGCAGATCAATAAATGGGGTTAGTTTCTATAGAAACAGTGGTGCTGGGTCGGTGGAAATATTACAAGATAATTTGGCCTTATCAACTAAGGTGATTGAACATTCACCTCTGTAAAGAGTTTCTAAAGCTGATATTTTAAGAGTTAGCCTTTTGTTTGGGCAATGATCAGCTGAAAATTATTGATGACTGGGAAGCTTAGTAAGACAAGACAAAACTCATGAAACAACTCAAAATTTATCTGATCTCTTCTGTAAATAATTCAGTCATGGACCCTTTTTTGAATTGGGGATCAAATTTCTAGTATCATTTCAATCAACATTTCACTATTAATACTTTGTGTTTGTGGAAAGAGCTTCATTGAACTGAAAAGGGGTAAATGGTTTTTTTTACTTTTTACTGCAAGTAAGAAGCATTAGGATTATGGTGCTTGTCTGACATTATAGCCCAAGGGATGGGCACTCATTCCAAGTGGGTGCTTATTTGAGTATTGGGCCTATTTGAGGAAATATCATATAAGATAAAATTTCATTGGAATAAATATTTTTATTTTTCCCTAAGAAGGAGAAGGAATTAACCTTTCACCCTGGACCTAACCAGGACACTCATGCAGATACACAAAAGAGATCAGAAATCAGACACACCTATCATAAAGACATAGATTGGAAGTTTCCAATGAATTGCTGCCAGAATAATCAAGGCATCCAAAGCACTTCCAACAGATGCAGTTATCATGGGTCCCTTTCGTCCCCTTTTGTCTGACCATGAACCAAGGAAACAAGCCGTGAAGATGGCAGGGAGTGTAAGTGTCATGCTCACCCATAAGATGTATTGTGAGGCTTTTTTGTGCACTTTATCATCCATGCTGTATTTTTTTAAAGAAAGTAAAAAGACAACAGCTATTAATAATATTTTGTTAAGAAATAAATTTCATTTCACCTGCCGATGAAAAAAATTAAACACGTGAAGGAATGATCCTAGCAGGTGGACTGCAATTTTAGCAATCGCAGAAAAAAGCAACAGGATTCAAACCTGTACTGTCCAGACACCAGCTAGGTGCAACCACATCTTGGGAGAAGGACAAATTGTAAGGCTTCCTCTTTCTCATAAAAGAAAAGAACCCTGTAATTTTTTTCTCACCAGGTCTTTCACACTGTCTAATTTCAATTGCTTAATAACAGCCACTAAATAAATACACAACTCATGCCTGAGTCTCTAGCTAAGGCATTATGGTGAGTCAGATCAGATGGGGAAATTAATCCATATCTATTGGGAGAGGAGTGTGGCACCATAATTCAAATGATAGGTTACTATCTTCCTGCACTGGGATTTTATCATACTGGCCACTTAAAAAAAAACATTTTGTTTTCCTCCTTCACTGAAAAAGATGGATTTATACTGTATGTCTTGAGCCTATCAAGATTTCCCAATCATGAAAAAGTAATAATTATTGACGAAATCATACAGAAACTGTCTGTAGTATATGTACTTACCTATGTTCAGAACTATTTTCATAACGAGGATTACAGATAGTATCATTTTCATCTTCTCCAGGTACTTTCAGTTCTTCCCTAGCTCTGTGATATAAGTACTGTTGTATAACTGGGATTTCCAAAATGATACCAGTGAGATAAAGGAAAATGACTATTTCCACAGTCAACAACCTGTGAGGATTGTTTCTCCATGAAATTGGCTGGTGGTTACTGGATGTTCCAGTGGTACCATTTGGGGTATCTTCTATTTCATTGGCTGTAACAGGCTCCTAGAACAAAATCAAAACAGATATAAACATAAAATAATTTTTAATGAGCTGATTCTATTCTGTTTTATACTCTGTATCAATCACCAGTAAAACTAGTCTCTTGTATGGCTTTTTCTGTAGGGTCTTACGATGTCCTCTACAGGGGTGGCCTGGGGGTGTGGTGTGAGGAGAGGGGAAGGAAAATTCCATTGATGAACTTACGATAAATATTGCACTACTATTCCTGCGGTAAGTTACCTCCAATGCATAAACCTTGTATTTCTAATTTTCCTGAAGGTCTTGAATTGCTTAAAAATTTCTCCTAACTAATCGTATCTGCAGCAGCAAGTTATCTATCCCTTTCCAAAGGCCGGTTAACTTTCGATTTCATAATCATTTCACTTTCCCAAAACGATCTTCAAATTTAACCTCACCGCGCACACTGAAAAAAAGACGTCAACTAACATATGTCATATTTTCTGTACGACATTGCAAAGCCTACCATCAGAAGCTATTTGACAATGCACGACTAGCTAGCTGACGAGTTTACGCACATCTAGGTGTCACGCGTTACAAGTTTGCACTGCATCGAGGGCAATGTGATAAGGAAAAAAGACTTGTCCGACCCATTACGTGTAAATGAAAGTGAAAAAAAGCTTAAAAGTAATTAGACGTTGAAATACTCACCTCACTCGACATTATGAAATAGGCGAAACAGTTGACAGTGTTAAGACATTCTGCTACAAGATTGGAACACCAATGCGACTCTTTAGGACTTCTTACATGACAGATTTTTTTTTATAGCAAGTGGTTCCCAGTCACGTGCCGGGCTCTGTGACTAGAAAAACATCGAACATGGAGGAAGGATTCGACATAAACTTGTGTAAAATGAGGACACACTTTAATCTTCATCACAGCAAGGACCATACCATTGAATAAAATTTCAGCCAAGTATGAGTGAACAACTGCCGTTGAGCCATCCTTTCGATCGGGAGGAGGAAACTTCTCTTCAACAACTATTTACTGCGTTCTGCAATCACCTAACCCTGGGTCAATGGGAACTTGCTCGAGTGTGCTTGCGAGGCTTGTTCGAACAGCGCGACAAACTCGAGAAACCTTTGAAAGAGATAATGAGGGCAATCATTGATCAACCACATCATGCAAGGTAACAAAATTCGTACAATCGAAGCGACTGGAGCCCGGGAAGCGCCCATTAATATCGTATTTCTAGTAGTCACGTACTTTCACATTCAGTTCTGTCAGTAGATCTGTGTTCTGTGACGGCAGTTTTAAATGCCTACACGTTTTTGATACATTTTTATTTTCGATTTTATGAAATATTCACCAAACGCCATTTATCCGCGGATATTCAAAGAAGTTAATATTTTGTGAAAATTGTTTTTCTATTGATGATATTCCACAGTTCATAACAGTTCTGACAGTTTCTTAACCTTTTAACCCCCTAACAGTGATCAGAATCTGATTTCTCCTTACATTATTAGCTCTGAATCACGCATTAAGTTCAGGAGATTAAAGGAAATTATCACCTGCTAGAGAAGCTCTTGATTGTTCAACAAATTCTCCTTTTCAACACCTTAGGAAATGTATCAGAAAACAGTAAGGAGAGTATGCATACTGATGTTTAGGTGCAGAGGGTTACTTTGGTTATTAGAAAGCCAGTGATAGTTATTGATAACCATATAAGATCTGGCAGTTAATCTTTCCCTCCCATATCAAGGGATTATTCAAAGTGGTTGGCAAAACTGACAGATTTTGAATTTTACATACCATATTTCCTTGAATAAGTGTCCATGCTGTACTAAGCACCCTCCTTGAATAAGTGTTCACCCTCCTAAGCTATGATATCAAACAAGCACCCCCCTTGAGTAAGTGCCTGACCCTCTATTTATAACCTTTTAAGTTTCAACTACAGCAGAATCTGAGTATAAGTTAACTCCCAAGAACTGATTGTTAATTCTCCCTTTTTGCAGCTACATATTTCCTTGTAAATTAGTTATGAGAATTTGGTGCTAGATCAAGATTGCAGCTTCTACCTGATAGGGTTGAATATTCTCATTACCTGTTTGCGGAATAATGTATGGATATTATATGGAGAAGTTTCATGTTAGTCAGTTCCAGGAATTAAAGGGTTAATAGTTTCCTAATAAGTGTCTTCTCACCTAAGCACCCTTGTTCCAGCAGGCACCCCTCTTTTAGCAAAATCTTAAATAAAACTCCAGGTGCTTATTCAAAGAGATACAGTATTCTGTGATTACTCATAATGCACTGTTACTGTCTTAACAGTTATGGATCGCGTTCTGTTCCATCTCCATTCCATTTATCATGGTTATGTTTGGTGGAATATCTGGATCTTTTCACTGATGAAGAGGCAAGTATTTTTCTCTAACATTTTTATAAATTTAATTTGTTTAATCCCTAGCTCATTACCCTGCAGGGTTTTCCTGGCTTCTGTGCTTCAGTCATTAGGTACTCTGTAATGATTAAGCTGTAAAGATCGTAAACACTGTGGATCAACTGTGGACAAACTTCTTACCAAATGCTGTCTACATTGTGCTAATACAGCAAAATCTACCTACTTCAAAATTAAGACAAAACCATTTTGTGTTAAAGAGTTTTCACATGAACCACAAAAAGTGTAACAAATATGGCCAGAGGTGTCTTTTTTATTAGTTAACCAAAGAAACTGAAAGAGAAGGAAAAGTCCTCTTTGTTTAGAGGCAGGATAACAGAGATACAGCTGAAACATGTTTGCCTGAGACTTTAGACACAAAGTTAAACAAAATTTATGAATTAAATAACACTATTAATATTACTTACAGTAATTATAGAGTCTTGTGCTTATAAATGATCTTAATCATTATGATTTACTAGTACATATAATACTGACTCTTGAACTATTGTTTGTGTTTGATATGCAACACAGGACCAGATTCCAGAGCCTATTGTAAAGAAAGTGGAATTTCGCCTTCTTCTCTACCTTGCTTGCCAGAATGCCCCTCAAGTTGTGATTCAAGTAATTAAACTTTCACAATTGTCCAGTTTTCATGCCCTTATTACCACTGAAAGTGAAAACAATTACCATTAATCCCTGTAGCTCTCTTGATATTGATCTAGCACCAAGTTCTTATAACTAATTTACAAGGGAATGTGTAGCAGCTAGAGGGGAGAATTGACAATCAGATCTTGGGAGTTAAAGGGTTAATAAGAGCCTACTTGTGGGAAAGTTTACTAGCATTCTAAAAGAATCATAATGATTCCTCAGTGTTCTTCCTTATTTTAAGCACAACAGGTGGAAGAAAATTTATAAAAGGTATTTGTGCAATTCCAAGCTACTCTAGGCAGTAACTAGAGGTATTACAGGTGGCAATTTTTACCAGTTACTGCTAATAAAATAGAACACTGTTACATGTAATTCACTGTGACAAAAAAGACTTGTTTCCATTAATTTGCAGGATATAGATGATTACCACAGTCAAATTGTTTACAGAGATCCTGACCTTTTTGCCTCTGGGGTGTCTGACCTTCCCTCTTCCACTTTGTCATACTTGAAACAGCTGCTATCTGAAAGTCCTCAGTTTGGACATGCTGTGATTAATGATCTCACTTCCAAAGGGAAGGGCTTTTTGAAAAATAACCAGCTCTTACAACAGTTATATTTAGACCTCATCAACGAGCAATTGATGGCCTTAGACTCTGGAGCTGTAGAAGTTGATGGTACCAGTACCACCTCTGTACCTAAAGATGACATGCCTGTAAAGTGTGCCACCAAAGAATGTAAATTCATCTATCAAATGCTTTCCTACATGGACCCAAGTCCTGAAATGCTCAGCCTTTCCAAGTGTCTGGACGATCTTTTCAGGAACCTCATAATTCGAAGTTCAAACGAGAGAGACACTATTTTAGACAGAGGCATTTTATATTCCTGCTTCCTCAGCCAGACATCAACTTATTTGATGGAAAAGTTTTGTTTCATTGAAAATCAGATGCGCTTTGCAGTGAATGATCGTTCAGAGTTACCATTGTCAAGAGCAACATTGCAAAGATTCAAGCAACCATCAGCATTAGATGGTCTCACTGTTAATATTTGTTATGTTCAATCCTTTATGGAGGATAGGAGAGAAGCCTGGAAATTTCTGTTCTTCCATGCTCTAAATGGAAATCATATTTTAGAGAACATGATGGTAAGTAGATATCCATTGTACATAAATGCACTGGTTCTTTGTACCAGTGCCATGGAATCATTCAAGAGATTAAAGAGGCATTACACCCATTTGGTTACAATGGACAATGAAAATTCCAGGGTTAAGCCACTGCAGGTTATTGTTTCGTGTTTCCGAGCGAGGAACTTCACTGTCACAGGGCCTCTCTCCCACCCAGGGTATTGGCAAACTGTTGAGGAGAGAGGACATCAGGCTGAGGTTAACCTTAATTCTCCCCTTTAGTCATGAGAATTTGGTGTTAAATCAGGATAACAACTCCAGCTGATGAGTTCAAGTATTCTCATAACCTGATTGTTGGATATTATATGGATATTATAGGGAGAAGTTACATGTTTATCACTTGTGGGAGTTAAAAGGTTAAGTTAGTGGTGAGCATACTGGCTTGTAAATAAAATGATACATGATGTGGCTTATGACACTGCTTTTAAGATGCAGTGGCCAAATGGTCAATGTGCTGCACTCTGCGTCAAGAGGTCTGGGTTCAAGACCTAGGCAGGTCATGTGTTGTGTTCTTGGGTAAACAATTTACTCATATAGTACCCCTCTCCACCCAGGAGCATAAATAGGTACTGTTGAATTGTCAGGGAAGCCTGATGAAATGCTGGGGGAGGAGGGAGGGGGGGGGGGGTGTTAACTTTGCAATGGCTCACATCCCATCCAGGGGAGAGTAGTAATACTCTTAGTTGCTTTATGCTTCTCAGAAACCAAGATAAGCTCCATCTGGGTGAGCCAATAGTGCAGACTTTATCTTTGACACTGCAGTATCTTCTCATTGTGGAAATAAAAATTTAGTGTCAATACAAATGTCACCATGTTTACAATGTGCTTTAGGAAACAGCTCTTGTCTTCATAAGAGAAAGTGACTTTGCTAGGCTGACACAGCTTCTGTCTCCAGTGGAGTTTTCCAGACTCAAGCCACTTGTTCTCCTCTTGGGCTGGCCTTACTGCTACAGTTGTGAAAATGCTAAGAATCTACTGGAAGCTCTCTGGGACCCAGCGGTAAAGTTTACTTGTTTTTGTTTTAATTTTTTTTTCCTTTTTCAACTTCGTTTTAGCCATAATTAAGGGCTTACATACTGTTGAAATTGAAAAATGCAAAGTTATGTTTGAATACCATTATAAATATGTTGCCTTTATGGTTTGTGCATACAATTGAGGAAACAGAAAATCCAAGTGTAAGGGTGGGGGGAGGAGGGTGTAGGCTGGTTGTGTTTTGTTCTTGGATGATACCTTGTTTTTACTATGATCCTCTTTGTTAGGGACGATTTCTTTGTATCAGCAAGTCATTAGAGGGAGGGTGCCTGCAATCTGGCAATGGGGTAATTAACCAGGATAGATTACTTTGTGTCAGGTATTCAGTGAGAAAACAGAGTATGATAGCAGCACAAAGGGAAATAAGGAGCTACCACTGTGCCCAGTTATCAATTGAAGGCCTGGAACAGGCCAATAATAGAGTAGCGAACATCCCCTTTAGGGGAAGTACAATGTAGGAAAACCAGTGGTCTCCTTACACTATGGTTAAATAAGATAAGTTCAAAGCTCCAGAGCTCCAGTGATACAGCCCACTTGGCAGGTTTGTACAACTACATGTCAGAGCTATTTTGATAAATCTGCAATGATCTGCATATGGCTCAGTAGCTTATAACCAACTGTTGTTTTGCTTGGGATTTTAGGAGAAGGCTGCCCATCCATCACTTCACCAAGCTTGTCAGAAACTGGCCTATCAAGTCCAACTGGTTCAGTGGTGTACAGAGAAAGCTCGGTAAGTGCAATGGGAGGTTAAATTTTAGAGTTTTTTGTTGTATCATACCTTGTGCTGCACAAAGACCTTGACATGCAATAGTTTTCCTTCAACTTTTTACTCCTCAGGGGTGACTGGCTTCTAATTTCTTCTTACAAGAAATTATCACCCCTGAATCACACGTTGAGGTTGTGAGAATAAAGGAAATGATCACCAACTAAACAAACTCTCCAAAGTTAAACAAATTTTCCCTGTCAGCACCTTTGTAAGTGTATGGAGAACACTTTGGTGAATATTCATACTGATGGTGGGGTGTAAGGGGGGCTCAGACAGCGTTTTCACACGGAGGTGAGGCCCATTAGTTTTTAAACTGGCAAAAATTCGAGTCTTTGTAGATGTGAAGTCAACAATATTTTACTGAAGTTACGACGAAATAAGTATAGCTCGTCATCGAAGTAAAATTAAGAGATTTTTCCAATTTAAATCTTTTGAGGTCTGTTTTGTGTAAACCGACTGGAAATGAACCCCTCGCTTGTCTTTCATAAGGGACGAATTGCGCTCACTTTGTCAAAACGCCATTCGTTTGCATCAACAACAGACCTTATAACGACTTCTCTGACCTTAACAGTTAGGCGTGCTTTAGAGTTCTAATCAACCACGGATCAATGTCAGTATCTGAGCAACTACGCACCAACCCCTCTCCTAGCCCAATAAGAGTTAGATTATAAGTAGTTAGGGTTAATGCTCAGTTAGGGGAGGGGTAGGTGCATCTACTCTATTAACCGCATACTGTTGTTGCCCGTTGATAGTCCCTTGCTGGCCTCGTCTGAACCAGGCTCAACTCGTCATCAGCAAGCCTCAGAAATGTTCCAAGGTCTGGAGTCACACTCCGTATTACACGTGCTGCACAAGTCTATCAGTTTGGCGCACCTTCCTGAAAAAGAAGTTTTTGAACTTTTGAGAAAGAGACCTGTTTTTACCCCTCTAAAGGAAGACGGAAATGAACCCTCAGGCGAAGGCAGCGAGGAAAGATTGGATGAAAAAAAGACAGAAGGAGGAAGGGAAAAAGTTAGCAAAGAGGATTTGGATCAAAACTCTGAAATTCATCCTGAAGTGCAAAGAGATGTCTTCCTGTACCATAGTTACTGCGCACTTAGAAATTTTATGGAAGTTGTTACTTCCTCTGTGGAGACCTCTGGTGAACTAAGTTTAGAAACCAAACAAGTTCTGGGCGAAGGGAAAAGTGTTGAACCTTTCAATTCGGGTGGAAGCGAGTATTCCGATACGAACTCAGAAGAGAGTTGTCCGGAGGAGAGGTATTGCGGACAAGTTAGAAATAAACTGGATGCTGGGAAGTATCATTTAGCCCACGTTTACCCACTGACTTACAGAGTTGAAATTCTGGAGAATATCTTCAGTCTTCTGTTTACAACTTACGAGGATCTTTACGAGGGAAGAACCCATCACAATGAAAGTGATGATGTGGAAGCAATGGATGAAGAAACCAGGAGTTTGTCCAAAAGCAGTCGGACTGGAAGCTGGGAGAGCCTCGCCAGTTCCCTGGATTTGTCGCTTGACGTTCATGGGCCGCATACCCCTGCGAAAGACCAGGAAAAGGCGGCTAGTTTAACAGGATCACAGCCTCCAACTCCCGACACCCTAAGGCAGAAAAGTCCAACCGTGCTGTCAACTATGGATTCCCCTTCTCGTAGGCAGTTGTTTAAAAATAACAGGGCCGAATCCGATTCAGCTCTGTTAAAGAAATCGTCAGATAGAGAAGCGATAGCGCCTCCTGTATCACCACCTGCGAGCAACACAGTCAGGGCAAGGCTGACAGATGAGGAATCATACGGTGGTAATTTAATCTCTAGTAAAGGGTCGTCAAGAGCTGTTGTAGAGGAAGAGAACGATCTGAAATATGAATTTGTGATTGAAGATGCGACTGTACCAGACATGTTGACAACATTGAAAGAATGTCTCATGGAACTAAATACGGCGAAGTTCAATGAACTGAAGAAAGGTTTGTCATTTTTTTCACCCCACTGACAGAGTCGCTTCGATCATTCTCGTAGATAAGCTCAAAGAGCAATTTTGTTATTCGACGTGCATGTGTCATAAAGAGATCGAAGCTGCTCTGCTGGGGGTGGACACTTTAGTTATAGAGTCAAGAATATTATGTTTTTCGAATGGACAATTATTATCTTCGATCTTTGAATTATAAAATTTATATTTGTTTCTTTCGTTGCAAACCTGTTTTGATCGGTCGATGTGATTTCCTTAGGCTTTGAATTTACTTCATTAAGTAGGCGAACCAGAATTTTAGTTAAGGCACAGGGCCGCGACCAAGCGCGGGAAAATTTAAATGACAAAGCTGTTCATTGGCTGAGTAGTTTGGGTGAGGTCTACTTTCAGCCAATGACAGAGCCTTGTTCACCAAGTCAATGTTTGCGTTACAACGCCATCAATTTTTGTTTCAGAAAAGTCAGAATCATTCACAACTCGCCAAGATTTCCTCCAGACATCCGTACCTCGCAATTCCATGGAGCAGCGTATTTCACGACTAGGCCAATTCATCAATGAGGCTCAGTGGAGATTCCAGCTGGTGTCATGGAAAAATGCCTCGAAAGGTCAGACCACCAGGAATTCCAAGAAAAGACTTTCTAGAAAAATCAAGCAAATTGTAAGAACGGATGAAAAATCTAAAGAAGAAGATGCTGAGGATGAGGATTCAGATGATGTGGATGGTGCAACTAGTAAGGGTTTTTTAATTTTTTGTTTTTTAATTTTAATGTGAGTTCTGTAATTTTGTTGGCGACGCGGGGGCAGTAATGAGCACTACTTAAGCAGATCATTTTCAAATTCATTTCTTAAACCGCAGTTCACATATATGATTTCCAAATATTCACAGACATTGATTCATTAATTCATGGGTTTATTATAAACCAACATATGACCAGCTCCCAGTTGGCTTGTTAGCTCAGAGGTCATGGGTTCAAATCCCGCACAGGCCTGATTTTTTTTCAGGCCTTATTATCACTACTGCTTAACTAGTTTTTATTGCTGCGAAGATCGCGTTCATGTTCATCTCTTAAAAAACAGTACACATATATGATTTTTATATATTCACAGTCATTGGTTTATAATCTGATATCCCTTTCACTCCTCATTCTCTTCTTAAAGTGTCAAGAAAATCAGGACAGAAAGCAGCGGTCCCGAAAGAGACTTCTGGTGAATCGAGCTCAAGCGTTCATCTTAGCCAGGATATATCAGCAGGTGACATAAACATCATAAACGCCACATTTAGAGCAATTTTCAATTGAGCATCGAAAGTAATCTGGGATTGCTTTGGTTTTAAATTAACTTTGTTCTGTGATTGGTCCAGAAAACTCGTATCCATCCTCTCAACCAGTCAGACGCAAAATAAAAAAAAAATGGCTACTTGGTCGCCCGAATTTTCGGCCGCTTCGAACGGTTTGCTTGTTTTCACTTTGAGTTCTCATTGGTTAATTATATTGTTAACCTTTGTTCTGATTAGTTCCCGGGGTTGGTTTGGTTTTGGTTTTTAGACACTTGATTGAAAATTGCTCATTACTCTGTTGTGCGTCGATTTACCTTTGGGTTACTTTACGATGAAAAAAAAGGAAATTTGAGCGCATAACACCTGCGTTACGCGAGATCAAATGGCTACCGGTAAATGAGCATCTTCACTACACTATAAGGACGTTTAAGTGCATGAAGGGCCTGGCCCCCACATACTTGTGTGAGTCTCTCTGAAGTCTATTCACTATCATAACACTAGAAACAGTGCATCCCATGATATTCCTCCAAGCAAGACAAAGCCAAGCCAGTGACGTTTCCTCCATAGAGCAGTCAACATTTAGAACAATTTAGACAAAGACTTAAACCTTTATCTTTAACATCATTAAAAAAAAGTTGAAAACGCACTTGCTAGAGAATTATTTTAATTGACCGCTTTTTATAATTTTATTGGTTTTTTTTTTGTATTATAATGTTCTTTGCTGTTTAGTATTGAAAAGCCCCCTGAAGAATACTAATAAAGTATGTATGTAATTTGGCATGTGTGAGAACTCGGGAATTTTTTTTTCTCTGCCGCTTGTGAGAAGGTCAACCGTCCTCACCTTATGGGGTGTAGGTCGTAAGCAATTTTTTTTTCCAAGCCTCCTTTCTATGCGTTGAATCATGTCTGTTGTCGAACATGATGCGTTAGGTTCCGTTTATCTCTCTCGCGCCATTATGCCCCCTGCGGAACGTTGTCTGCACGGGGCAATTTGTTTTGTTTTAAACCGTGTATCTAAGGGATGCTATTTTTTTATTACGGAAGGGGGGAGGGGGGTTAATTGACGGTCACTTTTCTACAGTCCCACCTTTTATAGTCTGTAATCGACGACCGATTTCCCTCCATCCGCCCCTAAAAACCAAATTCCTCCTCCCCCATCTAAGGCGATAAATAATGACTCCAACCCAAGCTTACATTATTTCGCTTCACAAATGATGTATACATTTGTTTCAGGAACGGAAAATAACAAAGAGGTAACAAGAAGGAGGAAAAGCCGTCATCGCCGGCTGACTTCTCGAACGTCTGCTTCAGAAGGTTGTACTTTACTCATCAAAGATGATAGCGTCATAGCACGCATGCTCTCTTCTCCCGATACGCTGATATACATGTGCATGAGAAAAGACAATTACGAACGAGCGCTTCAAGTTATAAAAATGTTTAACATGGCAGAGAAGCCCAGTGCGCAAGCTCTGGCTTTTGCAGAGAAGTACAGTAAAACTATAAAACATTTGGAAAGTTTACAACCCAAAGGTAGACGAGTCCAAAGCCAGGGCCTCTTTAAATCTCGTAAACCTCTTGGGGGTCTGGGGGCGGTTGCCATGGCAGCAGCCTCGGGTGCCAGCAATTCAATGGTTTCCAATCTGATTGACGAGCTGCTGGCAATGCCGTCTTTGAGTGCGGTCCTAGACCCTAGTCTCACTCCAGAGAATTTGGCGAACGGGAATTCAACTTTGGTGAAGTTTATGGATCCGGAAATGGTTCCGACGATGCTATGTGTAGATCTGGCGAGTACAGCAGCTGTATCCTGGTCCGTCTGCAAGACGCTGCTGGACATGGGAAAGAGTCGCATCACCGAAGGTGAGAGATAAATGTATTACGTATCAGGAGCAATATTCAGAGTTTGATAAAAATCACTGATTGCCTTAGGGTAATTTAGTATTACCAACTGAGTTGATAACGTCAAAGAGATTAAAAGCTGACGTTTCGAGCGTTAGCCCTTCGTCAGAACGATTGGACGAATTGTGGGTTGTGTGTGGGTTTAAATGCAGAAAATGGAACTACGCTATTGGTGGGAATATGGTGACGAGAAAACAAGAATAAATTATTTGAATGAAATGCGCTCGTTGATACCGTTTGGATTAAGAGTGCCGATTTGAAAGATAAATTTTTGTTCTAGAGTTTTGCGGCTCTCCGAACTGCCTAGATGTTAGAAAAGGCCGCAAACTACCATATGCTGCTTAGAATGATTAGGGAGATTAAAATGTCTAGCGACTTGTTTGGATGCGTCCTTGTCATTTTTTTCTACGTTGCGAAGGTGTTCTCAGAATCGGGCGCTAAGTCGTCTTCCTGTTTCACCAATGTATAACTTTTTGCAATAAGTGCAAGTTATGCAGTAGGTGACACTGGCGAAGGTACACGTAAAGTGACGAGTGTTTTGTATTGTGATTGAGCGGATTTGAAAGTTCCACGTTGGTCATTGGTTTGAAATGAACTTCTGACCAAAAAGTTGCCTATGTTTTTTTCACGTTTGAACAAAATTAGTGGAGGTTGCCAAAATATAGTACCAGTCTCTGAATCGTTTGGAAATGATTTGAAGTTTTTAAGAATGATACATTTAACTGCGAGGATTGAGAGAGTGAAATGTGACGGCGGTTATAAATTGAGTGAGCTCCTCTCTGGTAGATAGGGTAGCGCCGATGCAGTCGTCAAAGTAGTGACCGTAGAGTTCAGGTTGGGGGCCGTTGTATGGACTAAAGAATTGGTGTTCGACAAAACCTTCGATAAAATTGGCCTAAATGGGTCCCATTTTAGTACCCATGGCTACGCCATTACTTTGTTTGTTATAGTTGCCTCTGAATGAAAAGCAATTGAGTGTTGTACTAGCTCGGCTAGACGAGAAATGATTGCCTCAGTTGTGACCCCAGACTTTGTGACATTTCCAGGAGACTGAATTATTTAGATGCAGTTGTGAATGCAATCGCTCCACTGTTCACCTCTGTCTCACGCAATTGAATTTGATTAGACAAATTTACTAGCTATGTTATAACTTATAAGCTTGAAGCGTCTTGGGTTGGCAATCATATCTTTTATTCGCATGATCTTAGTGAATGATTTAGCAGTATTACTGTATGCAGAAATGAAAAGCTGGTTACATTAGGGTTTAAAGGATTAAAAAGCGCTCTGTACATTTAAAAAATTTTTTTTTTACTATTTTTTTACCTTCCAGAGCCACATCCATCTTCCTCCAAATCAAGTGGAATCCTCCGCGGTATAAAACCATTTATGCATCAACTAGAAGAGCTTTTGAATCAAGAACTGTCGCGTGGTAATGCCCAGGACCCGTCTGGTGGCATCACCATATCCGTCACCCCTAAACCCAATGCAGTGAACCTTCTTCTTGTCGGGACACATCCCATTCGGCCCAAGGACATGGAGGCTCACAGAAAACTTAATGCATCTCAAGAAGAATCTTTTAGGTAAAGACTTTGTTTAAGAATTGCGTTATGCGGAGGTTAACCGTTTCACTGCTGGAATGTGGGTTGAAGGCGGGATGAGGGATGGTTAGAGCCCAGTGGAACTCCCCCCCCCCAACACCCTTTTTTATTACCCTTGTCTGTTCTCTGAAACCGTTGAGACATCCTGATCTTAATAAAACTCTCAGATAAACCACTCTTCCCTTAAACAATGAGAAAGATTGTGATGCTTGTGCACGTTAACCTCCAAAAACCGCATCTTTTCCAAAACGACAAAAAATGAATTTAACGTTTTTTCGGGAATAAATACCCAAGAAGCGAAATCGGAGTAATAAATATGAATTGGACGAGATGCCACGAGGAATACAAAGCAAGTGAGGTGGAAGCAGGCTTAGGAAATGACACCTAAAACCTTCTTTGGCGAGCTTCTTGTGTAAGCAAAGTGAAACAACATATGCAGACTTAGTAGAGTAACAGAGACAGGCAAAAATAGTATCAGCTTGAAGCATTTCATTTATTCAAAGTTGAAAAAAATCGAAACAGTTTATCCAGAGGTAAAGAACACAAACTTTGGTTTCGAGAAGGAAACATATGTGACCTTTGTATATCTCCCCTTTGTTGAAGAGACACTAGTATTCGGAGGACAAGGTGGGGGTGGGGGTGGGGGTATGTTTCGCAAGATGCAAGTGAAGAGACAGGTATATTTGTTTGCTTTCGTCTCAGACGGTTTGAGCAGGCGTTGGAAGAAGGTGAAACGCAGATCAGAAGTGTGGATGAGGTTGCCAAGCAACACCCAGGCCACAGGCACGTCGGCAGGCAGGCCTCGTTTAATCTGATGGAGAAGGGCCTGGCTGTGAGAGTCGCCATGATCGAGTTAAAGAAAGCGTTTGATTGCATTGATAGTGCTAATTACGTCACTACCGCAGGAGGAGGGGGCTTGGAACAGAGATACGACTACATATCAAGTTTAGTTAAGCACGTAGAGACTTTGGCGACGCTTTTGCTGTTTTGGAAGTCAAAAGCGGGAGGTATGTGTAGATAACTCTCTGTTAATAAGATATTTACAGGCTTGGATGTCACCAAAACTTTGCCTTTTCCCACTGTGTTTTTTTAGTATATATTTTGTTGTAGTTGTTGTTTATTTTATGGTTTAAATTCGTGTGACGAAAAAATTTGTTGAACATTTAAGGATATAAAGCAACGCTTTTAAAGCAAACGTTTCAGCGACGACATGTCACCATTATCAAATGCAAATACGCAAAGATTTCAGATGATATATAGATAGAAAACGAAGATACGGGCAACATCCAAAAAAATAAGGCGTCAAACTTTCCACGGCATTTCTAACTAGTTCGGTTTGGCTTTTCTATTCATTTAATAGGTTACCACCAACAGATCTGCATTTCTCCTAGAAGGATTACCTGCTAGTTTAGACTTTGTGTCCAGTTAGCCCTTACTCTGTGTTTTAGACCCAGTTTCCTGGCAAGCGTGCCAAATTATTGAGCGTGGCAATTTCACTTTTAAAATCTCGACCCGTATTGTGTATTGTGTTTTATTTTCAGACTCTTCATCGAGTGTTCCTCCAAATATCGATCTAAATCGGCCGGGTGCTCTGAAGGTTTCCAATCCGTTTGTTGTGTTGAATGAAGGCATCGCGGAAACCCTCGGAAGACATATGTTTGAAAAAGACATTTCTCCAGAAAGGTAACTTTTATGCCGAAACATCTCGACTGTCAAGGAAAAATTACCCATTGCTTAAGCTACCTGTTTTGTAAAAGTACAGAGCTTTAATTTTTTGAGCCTAAGGGAAAGTAAATGCAAATTTGTTTGATTTTTGCGTGGGGATTCTCTAAAGGAAGTAACGATGAACTTTCCTTTGTCAGCTTGGAGCCTGTGGCAAGGCAATTGCACGTGAATCTCTCCAAGGTCATCGTTTACAACTGCTGTCCGGCTGTGCCTTCACACGGGGGAATCTCACGTAGAGGTCGGTATACCCGAATGTGTCATTGTACGTTATTTATGTGTCTGCAGTCATGTTCACAAGGTATCGAGGGAATGTTCTAACGCTCTAACATTTACCGGAAATTTCCTTGTTTCTCTGTTTTTTTGTTTTTTTCGCAAGGAACTGTGCAATCTTTATGTTCCTCCACCCGCACCGGTTGAAACCGGTTGAGTCCAAACTTTTCTTAGTAGTTTTACCATCTGCCAATGCGCGTTTTCGGTCAACGGGGTTGGAGCCACAAAGCGCTGTCAAAGGCTATTGACTTAAGCAGTTATGGAATAACTAATTATGATAAATGATCTAATGATTATATAACACGGTACTTTATTTAACAGACGTCCGCTGGCCATCCTCTGACCTGGTTATTTTGAATACTGGGAGCAGATGGACAGAGAATGTTCGAGATCCTAACACTGTCTCTAACGACTTGCTATCCAGAATGATTAAACTTCTAAAAGGTATCTTTCATACAGCATTTGTTGAAGCATGTACAATTATGAACCTAATTAACTGGAAAGGAAAACTTTCCCAGAGGCCCGAGGAAGGTATCAGTGATCTTTATTGACGATGTTAGGCATATGCAATGTGCCCTACCCCTGTCTGTGGCTCACTGTTTTATCGATGTAAACCGCACAGGTCAATCCCTGTAAATAGATGGCAACTATATTCTTATGTACAACAACTATAAATGCTTTTGCACTTATTAACAGCTGAAGGTCGAAGGTAAGAAAAGTAATTAAGCCATTTTCAGCTTGCTTAACCTCTCTATATTTGTTGGGCTACAGATGTGGCAGAGAAGAACGGCGATGTGGTGGACTCAAACTCAGTAGCTAGTATCACAAGGACGCCCGAGTTTCAAGCAATTTCACGAGGTACTGCAGAGCTTCAGTGCGTGGATCTTGACTCGCTCTCTTCAGATGCCGCTAAAGTGTGCTTCTACCTTAACACGCTTAATCTTCTGATTGCGCATGCGTCACTGATCCAGTTTTCGGACAGCTCTGGGGATGGTACAAGCGAAGCAGTACGCTCCATTACCCGGCATGCTTCATTTTCTCGGCTCATGGACGCAATGTCAAGTTCTGGAGGAGAGGAGAAAGTCGGTGATGCAGTTCCCCTGACTGCCCTAGAGAGGATTGCATTTCTTAAACAGCAGTGCTACTGCATCGGTCAGCTGGGTGTGGTAAGGTGAGAATATAAGACAACAGTGATAAAGATCTGGCTCCATTGAGTTGCTTACGGGATGGACAGCATTTGTCAGCGTTTGGAAAACCATCCCTTGTGTTAATCTCCATACTTTGCTTATAGTTTCATTTTGATTGCTCTTGATGGCATATAGATTGCATATTGCCGTGTGTCTGTTCAATTATAGATCACAGGTGACGTCTAAATGTGGCAAGAACAATAAAGTGGCACACGAGGCGCAGCTGAGTTCATCACTGATGTTCTTACCACATTGTGACATCTTCTGTCATCTACTATTGAAGAGATTCACGGCAACATGGAATCTATTTGTTTCATATGATAGAAAAGCAAATTGTTGTCAATATTGATGTCATCTATGCATCTGCCCTCCGATAGAACATGAGTAAGAACCAATCAAAATGCCTGTTTAATTCAGCGTATCATATATTATTAAAAACTGGATCATTGGATAATGCAATTCAAGAGTTTTTATTGGTTTAGCCATCATTAGCCAATGTACCCATTACGGGCCTCGTTAGCGATATATCATCTCATATCCAACGCGCGCTCGTGGAATAATAGTTGTTAATTATGCAACAGATTCCTACTGGTCTCCTGTGAAGATTGACATGCCATTTAGAAATCAAACATCAAGCCTCTCAAGCAAGTTTTTCTCGTCCAAAAAATTTTAAATCGCGTGTTTAGTTATGGTTTAATGGATCTTTTTTTAATTCTTAGTTGTTTTACCTTTTTATTCGAAGAATAGACCATCAACCAATGAAATTCCTTGGTTGGTGAGCACAGTGGATACGATGATAATGGCGTAATATCTTTATTGAATTTGCTCATTATTTTGACTACTCTTTTATTCTCAGTGCATTCGACCTGCAGTTCGTTATTTTACACAGAGGACTGGTACCGCCAAGCACATTTGGAGAAGGTGTTGTCATGTGTTTTCCAGGTAGGAAAACGGCAGTTCTTATTTGTGTTTCTGATGGCACGACTCGAAAATGTTTGCGCATATTACAGACTTTAACAGGCTCACGCAAGAAAACCATGGCAAGACCATCGCTACGATCAACATTGTTGAAAGCCTCGTTTTTGTAAATAGATTAGGAAATATTGCATATTGTGACTAATCTATAATCTTTGGATATGAAAGATGTTGGTTAGTCAGTCGTATTAGGAACGTAGGGCAAACTGCAGCTTCTTCCGGTTTCCAGCGATGTTAGAGAGCTTTAGATCTGATTACGAGTACGATTACGAGTTTTGGCCGAGAGTAGAGTGACACCAGTCTTAACATGACGTAACACACGAGAGCGTGACTTCTTCAGAATTAGGAGAACGCTTCACAAATAGACGTCAGGCCTTACTGAATGTAACTTTTTTGCAACTCTCTGTGGTTTTTATTATTATTATTATTATTATTATTCCTGAAATGGTTTTATCTGAAAAGAGACAGCGAGATTTCATAAAAACTCGTAGTTAGAATCAGAAGGCAATGACCTTTTCAGAGTTTGTACCACTCCCCTACCGAGGAAAACTCGTAGTCGTACTCGTAGTCAGATCTAAAGCTCTCTATAATGTCCCAGGTAGGCTGGAAAATGTAAAATCTCATCTCCCAGTATGTGCTGGTTTAAGTTAATTACATTTTATTGTCACATCCCTCAGAACGATTTACAGATAACGCTAAAAAGTACAAGCTGACTACCCCGGAAAGACGGGTCATATTCGCCATCTGTGACGGCTGTGTCTCCTCTCCAAAGCTTCAGGTTAAGAGTCCAATGTATTTTTAGTTTATCCTCGGCATATAGTGAAGGAGTGGATAAGGTTCAAAAGAAACTATGGTGCTGCGTCGGTGGGGGGTGTTACGAGATAATTTCGTTTTTTCAACTGAGTTGATAATGTCAGTTGGCCACCGTAGAGAGTTTCTAAAGCTGACGTTTTGAACGTTAGGCCTTCGTTAGAGCGAAGGGTTATTGAAGGTTTCTCGGCGTTGTAGAATTAGTTGACGGTTTGAGTGTTAGCCCTTCGCCAGAGCGAAGGATTACCAAAGGTTTCTCTCAACGATGTAGAGTTAGTCTCACTTATTCTTTCAGTACTCTTATTTTTATACTTATTGCCAGTTTAAAATGATTCCCCTTGTTGGTTTTACTTTTTGAGTTTATCGCTCGCAAGCTCAAGTTTGTCAATGGGAAATTCATAAGTCGATTTTTGGCAAGTCGAAGTTATCTTCACTTTGGTGTTAAAACCCGAGGCCGGGTTGTTCGAAGCTGGGTTAAGATAACCCTGGGTTAAGATAACCCAGGGTTAAGATAACCCAGGGTTAGTATGAAATTGGATTTCAGATCTGAAAGCTTTAAAAGAAAATTCGCTGTAAAGAAACCCAACTTAAAATTTAACCCAAATCACAATTTAACCCAATAACTGGGCCCTGGTCAACCAGTCAAGTGAAACATTTATCGATATCCGCGACCGCTAATGTTCTGATTGTTTTCCCACGTTACAAGCATTTATCGTGATTTCTCAGTGGTTAATTTTGGTCCTACTGTTTGCTGTGATTAAGCGTTGGAACTGCTTTTGTTAACCCTATCCACTCGATAAATCTCTATCCGGTGCATGGCGCAGTGCATTTTGTTAACACTTACCAGCTGGATAACGAAGTATCCGTTTGATGGCGTTATTCGTCCTTTGAACAACTGCGCCCAGTTCTTTTCCTAATGTCAGCATCTGTTTCTCTGCAGAGTTTCGATGTAGATGAACTAGATGCCCAGCTCTCTATCGCTGTGGTTTCATATATCAATTCCCGCGTATCTTTGAACCAACAAACTGGACAGATAACATTGCCAGAAATTCTTCATTGGTACAGAAAGGACTTTGAAATGAAATCCATGGATGATTTTAGTAATGCCTCAGGTGCAGCGCCCGATGTTTCTCTCTTGCTTCAGATGGAGCCGTATCTTTTTCCGGATACTGCCGCTGTTCTTCAACAAATGCTACCGAACATCGCCGAAATCACCTTCACGCCATTTTGCTGGAGTTTCGGCTACAGATTTGATTCAGTGATGCGCGAGCGTTCTTCTTCGGTATCAAGCTTGCAGCGGTCTAATTCTATGCCGGAAAATCTTCTTCTGAGCATGGAGTTGTCTGTCCTTGCTCAAACAAGACTGGAAAAAGACGGGAAAAGAGGATTGTTTAGCTTGAACGAAACAGCGCTTGAATATTTAGAGGAAAAATCACCGCTAGTGGCCGCGTTAACGAGTTTGGTGTGTTCCTCTCCTGCAAAACTGAATATTTTATCGGAAGAGAGATCCCAGTTTTCAAAGGAGACCCTAGAATCTGGAGTTGATACAACCGACTTTCCTTTCCGATTTGCTCTGGAGAAAACTGCAAACTTTCCGTGTCTCCAGCGATACATCGCCTCTAAGTTGTACACAATAGCAGACATGTTGACGCTTTCTCCAGCAGATTCAAACGAGCAGGGTGGAAGCTTTGACAGTTATGATTTCATCAAGTTAGATCCAAACCTCCAAACTTTACAAGATGGTATGCGACCTCCGGACATCTCTCTTTTCTCGGTAGCTTTGGCATCCGAAGGGAGTTCCGCACTCCAGAATGCTATCCTCAAAGCGAGCGATTTTTTCTTGCGCAAAGGCTACTTTGAAGAACTCTTGGAGTTAATCTGTTCATCGGATCTTCGTGGTGATGGAGTAGCAGGCCCTTCGATTGATTTCTTGTTGAGCTCGGCCGTTCTAAGTAAAGGAGGAACAAGATCTAATCTCCAGGAGAAACTCAGGATAATTTTCAATCAACTTAAGATTCCAGAGTTAAAATTCGGTCATGTTTTTAACAAAAAACTTTGGGTCCTCTTAACTCGAATGAAAGATCACGATGAACTAACACGTCTCGTCCTCAGGAAGCTTAAAGAGTGGAAAGCTGATACTTGCATTGACTTGATCGATTTGTGTTTGTCTCGTTCGGTCAACGACGCTGCCCGAAGAAATGACTTGGAGAGGAAAAGGAAAGAGATATCCTTGCATCAAAAGGTAAACGTCAAAATTTTCCTTTTGCCTTCGTCTCTTTTTGTTTATACACTAGAATATTTCTGCCTTCTATCTGTTTAGTTTCCTATGTTCCCTTGTCCGTCTATCTGTCTTTGCATCTGTCCGGTCATGCGCTCGTTTGTCTCTTTGTCTGCCTGTATGTGAGTTTGTCTGTGTGTTGGTTTTTTTTCTTGTTCTCAGTGATTGTACGTTTTTTCGCCGAACCATCTGCATTTTTTCTTTCTTTTTGCATGCATATGTTATCATCTGTATATCTTTCTGAATAATCACTGTTGGAGCCAATCCTACCTGTTTGTCTCTCATATACCTGTTTGTGATTTGTCTTGTTGTCATTCTATCGGTTTGTATACCTGTTAATCTAACGTTCAATATTAACAGCTTTTTTCCTTGGCCTCCTTTCTGTTTTTTCTTCTCATGTTATCTGGGTATGAGCTTTGATCTTTACGTGGTAATCTCTCCTTGTCTTGTTCCATATGAACCAGCCCCAAAACTTATCGTCATCACAGGTTACCAGCCCCAAAAGTATTGTCACTACAGTGAACCAGCCCCAAAAGTATTGTCAGCATTATTTACCAGCCCCGAAAATATTATCACCATGATGTACCTGTATTGTTGCCACTACTTTCAGATTTCTCTGTGTGTGAAGTCGTTCAAGTTACAAGTGCCTGCAGAAGAGAGGGAATCGTCTTCAGCCGGTCTGAAACGTTGGCAAGGCGTAGCGTCCATGTCTGAGGAAAATCCGTCTGTTGTTATGGAGTTTTTGCTGTCCGCTCAACAGTTTGATCTCGCATCAGAGTGGGCTCATCTACACAATCTGCCGCCAAAGTTTCACAAGGCAAGTTAAATAATTCTGGTCACTTAGCCAACGGGAACATTCTTTAGACTGCATCGTTTCCAAAACGACAACACTTATTGAAAAAAAGACTGCATAGGGCTTTTAAACCATCATTTAATTAATGATTTGATTTATCAAGTAATAGTTAAGCAGCTTTTAAGCAAATTAAGTTAAGTGTTAATAGTAATCCAAGACTGCTTTGGTTTTGCTTTACGTCGCTTTGTGATTGGTCCAGAAAATAGGTGCCACTCTCTCAACCAATGAGATGCAAGAGTTAAACTAATAGCGCTCTTGAAGGCGTTTGCTTGTTTTACTAAGCTCACTCAGTGGCTCCTTGTCATGTTTTTCTTTTCTCTGATTGGCTGTTGTGATTATTAACTGTTAGTGTGCCGTGTTTGTTTTGTTACAGACCATCACGGAAAGTCACCTGAAATTCCTGCTTGGCAACAATCCAGAGGAACAGATGAAGGCGTACAAGATCCTTGAAGGTGTCCAGGACTCAGAAATGACGCACGACATCTGCGAGTCACTCATGGCGCAAAACCTACACGTCAGTCAAACATTGTTTATAATACAGTTTATGCTCACCAATATCCCCTCCCTCCTTTCTCCGGTTCGCGTAGAGAAGTTACTCTGTACAAAGATGGGAGCCAAGGCCCTACTGTGCTTACCAGATTCAGCTCGACCGCATTATGAACACCTGGTTTCCAGGCCGCCGCTGTTGCTTGAGCAGCTGCTGATGAACATGAAGGTGGAATGGGCAGCCAAAGTGTTCCAGAGAATTCAGGTACGATCATGTTAATGTGTTTTAAAAGTTGTCTATCTACACCGGAGCCGGATCAGATGTCGTCCGTCTACGCCAAGTCGGATGAATCTAAAAACGAAACAATAACCAACGCAAGAAACGGTTGATCGCGTGGTCGAGCATGCGCCTAAAGAAGGTCTGAAAGAAGATGAAATATATCAGAAACATAAACGTTTTGAAAAAGTTTCGTTTTTGCTTCCGGTTATAGTCGACATTGAGCCTTACCATATGTATAAAGCTGCAGCGTTGATTTCACTTGTTTAATTGTCATTATTATTTAATCTTTCTTTTTTGTTTCTACATCAGATCGACCTAAGTTGCATGGAGGACGTTGAAAGCCTTGGTAATCACGGGTGCACAGTGAAGGCGTTTGACGAATTATTAAGCACTTACTCCGCCAAGGCGCTGGAATTTCAAGTTGTGCAGACGGAGAAAAGTCAGACTAAGGGTGAGAAATAATCATCAGAGATCTAGAAACTTCTATATCTCGAAACCTGGTTTGTTGCGAAGGGTCGAGATTTCTTGGCAGCCTCGATGCTTCTTCACCTTGCAGTCATCAGACCATGACTACATGTGCATGGCTTGATACCGCAAAATTCTTATTCGTGGCTTTACAAAGTCTAGATCGGACTTCTACTGAGTATCGTAAAACCGAGTAAGTCAGCAAGCTCAAGCGAACCTATAGGGAATGTTAAAAGAAGCTGGTGAAAACTCTATGTAAGATCAAGCAAACTGTGTGAAGGGCAAGAAAAAGCCATTGACCAACTGATTGGCTGACCCAATTTTCCAGAAAAATCAAAATTAAAAAGAAGGGGACATGCAAGTCTATTTTTAATTTATTTACTCAACTGAAAATTGCGTCAAGAGTTGCCTCTATCTTTGACAGAAATGTGCAGTAGTATTATGCAGAGTCTGATCCAGGCTCCCTCGTCCTCACCAAGCACCCCTGTAAGCTTCCTGGAGTCCGGTCGTTACACCCCTGTTACCTCCGTTTTTGGGACCCGGGATACAACGGTTGGGAACGTGGAGAGGAAAGTACAAACCGCTCCCAGAAGAAAGATTTCTTACGAATCACGATCAGTCACTCTCCAGAAGAAAACAGCTTCCTCGCGCGCCACTGGAAGTCTGGGAACAAGGAGGTCAGCATATATTCCACCTGTTGTTCCACCAAAGATGGAGGACTGGATGCCAGATCAGCAAGTATCATTATGTGTCATTTGCCAAGAGAGGTTTAGCATGGTAAGTACTATGTCAAGGCTATCGCTAGCAATGTTTGAGTGCACGTCACTCAAACTTAACTTGATTTTTGGAAGTTTTTTGTTTACAATTCTTGCTTTTGCCTTCTTGTTAAATCCGTTATGTTTTGCTCTTTTGAGAGCGAATGATTCCGATATACTCGCATTGCACCGGTCCTTTAAAGCGATGTGTCACTCCGTGAAAACAGCGGTCAAACTTCGGGCATGCGAGGGGATCCATTCTGGCCGGCCGCGCGCTGATTTTCGTGAAAAATTTCACAGGAAAACATAGGAAACAATCGTTGTCTCGTAAAATAAGCGAAAGCAAATTGAAACGTTCACAGAAATCTGTGAAAGGAACTGAAAATAGGGGAAGGAAAACTGTAGACTGTCCTAACACAAAGTTTATTGAAGTACAGTTTAACCAAAAATGTCTAACATTTCTAAAACTCCGTAAGGAAGACATTTCATCCGTTTTTCGGGGTATGTATGTTTGTAGAAATCTATTTTCACAGCTATGGAATTGAAAATTTCAAGTCCTGTTGATTCCTGCTAAGTTTGAGGGACTTCCGTTTTGTCAGGTTACTTTCTTTCTATTATTATTGTTCATGTTTTTTTTTTCTTTTCGAAGTTCAATCGCCGTCATCACTGCCGACGCTGTGGTCGCGTCGTGTGCGGGACATGTTCTCAACACAATCACGTTGTTGAGGGATACGGGAAGAATCCCGTGCGAGTGTGCGGTGTTTGTCATGAATACTTCTTCACCAACAGGTGTGTAAACTCTGAAAACAAAAGGCAAGATCCTTTCCTTATTGCATCTTACCATGGGGAAATTTGATTCATATTACATAAAGTCACAAAAAGCTTTTTAGTGTGCGCTGACATACTGCGGAAACTGGTTTTGACTCCCGTTAGGGGTCTCGTTTAACAGATTTTCCGTCTTCGCGCCAATGGTTCAATTCTTAGCAACAGCAGAGTGGTTACCATTGGGGCCATTCACAAGACGGTTTTTTTGTTTGATGTAACCATTTTGAGCTGCAAAAGGATTGTCACTTTTCGAAATGCTTGTGCTGTGAATCTTAAGGATTCAAAGGCACAATTTTCGACGTGGAGTGTGACACTGATTTTGTCCAATAATGTGAGTTCCACAGATCGTTCAACAATTTTTTTTAGTTGTTTGAAAAAAAATTTCTGTAAGGTAAACGAAGACCGCTCAAGTTAGCTGCCATTCTGAATTAACTGATGGAAAATCTAGTCTCGTCACAGTTATATACTCTTACAATTAAAACCAGAACTTTCTTTTTCTCACGGCATTTGATGGCTGTATGAAGTATTTTTTGCGATTCAAAAATCTGGATACACTCTTTTTAATTAATCGAAGCAATTTTGAATTTTTTTTGTTTTGTTTTTTGCTTTTGTTTCTTCGGTTTCAGTTCTTCTCAAGAGGACCTTAGCACATCAGTTCACTCAGAGTCAGCTTCACTCGGACCGGGACGTAGTTCCCAAGGTAACGATTGGGGTTCTCTACCCATCATTCCTCTTACTGACGAGCATTTAGCTACTCCTTGCGATTTCAACATACTTACCATCATATATGTGTAAAGGATAGGCAAATGATCGACAATGATTCTTCTATAAAACACAAAATTTCCTAATTAATGTGCAAAGAATGATAAAGTAATGAGAATGGATTATTACTAGAGTTTTGATTGGTTTTAGTTTTTCATCTGATTTTTCGAGAGAGAGGTGTAAGTGTTCTGGACCAATCACAGAGTGAAGTAAAAAAAAAATCAATGCAATCCCGGCTTACTTTCGGCACCCAATAAAAATAGGGTTTATCGTTAGCTTGGGTTGTTTGTGAACCGTGCGATCCCACCGAAGAATACGAGGTGCAAGCGAGAAAACGAAGCAATAATGTTGAAATGAAGCTGTCGCCCTACATGAAATGTTGATAATCTTGTCTGTTTTTTCTTTTTTATCCACTGCTCAGTTAAAACGCTTAAATTTTGAATGTTTCTCTCCGTTGGAATTGCAGAGCATACAGTGGGTAGTGGTCCAGATAATGTTTCAAGGAGTTATCTTGAGGAAACTACTTCGTTGAGCTACCTTACAGAAGACATGAATGCAAAATGTCTCTGGAAACTAGGTTTAGACGAGGAAACCAACTCTTCATTAAGAGACGAGTTCTACTATGAACAGGTGAGTAGTCGTAACGTACAGCACAGGGTGTCACATTTCACTACGGTAACCAATACGTTTACGGTCGTTTTTAACTCGTGAATTGCGCGCATCCGCAAGAGCGAGTTGTAGATATGATGTGGAGAATGGCGCTCGCTCGCTCGCTCGCTCGCTCGATTGGTCGATTCCTGTAAACTTTTTTTCGATTTTAGGCTTTTGAGTGCATTTGATAGTTGGCGAGCAATAAACAAACGAAATGGCGACCTTTGTTGCTAAGAATAGTGGTGGAGTGAAAAAGAAGCCAATGATAATCTTAAAAGAGTTTGTTTTTTTTCGTTTTAGTTTTAACAAGCGGCGCCAGCGATTGGCAGGCGTGCGAGGATTCACACTGAAACAAGAGAACAACCTACGTTTTTCATAAATTGTAATTTACAATCCTTGAACTTGAAAACAATCCGAAGATTCGTTAAAAATATCACTTACTCCGAAGCGCTCGGAGTTTACAGGTGTTCAAAAGCTTTTTCTGTTATGGCGTGAGATTGGGGACAGAATCGATCATTACATTTCATATCGTGTGTTTTTCTGAGTGAAGCAACAAAAGGTGCCGGCGACTGACGAAATTACAGGTTAACACGAAAATCAAATAACACCTAAGCAAATAATTTTGGCTGCCGATTTTCAGTGAATTTTTAAAGAATAATTTTCTTTTAAGTTTCAAGACAATTTGAAGATTCGAAATAAATATTACGTACTAAAATGCGAAAGTTATACACCACAAAATTGATGAATAGGCCTGAAATTAAATTCTATCTTGTTCTTGATTATACGTTGCATAGCACGTGACTAAAATCTACCCAGGCGGAAATCCAAAATGACGGTGGCAGTCTGGGCTTAGTTACATCACTCAAAACTCGTTCCCATTTGTCTCATTTGATAAAGAGGGAATCGTTGATGTTTACATTAAGACAGAATTGCCTTGATTTTCCAATATTTACAATGATAGACAGTAAATTTCACTTTTCATCCACATTTACTTGCAACCTTTTCTTTTGAACCAGAAACAAAAATGATATATGTTTAAAACACATGACATCATCCACCCTTGTCAAATGTAATAGCATGATCATTTCAATTGTAATGCCTTCTCATCTCAACGTTACTTTGTTTCTTTGCTACATTAGCGAACACTGAACTACTGCTCGTACTCTAAATATGACAATCAACCACAAAATTCCCCAAACCAGATAAAATTAAACATAATCCAAAAAATCATGTAAGTCATCTGTCAATTCACGAGTTTGCTCACAGGGCACTTTGATCTATATCTGTGGTCTATTTTCTTTCATTATTCTGTATCTAGGCCCCAAGTGCCTCCTTGTGTGTGTCGATATTGGACCTTCACAGTGACGTCAAAGCCTGTGGCAAGCTTATTCTGGACCTCTGTAATTCGCTCTCTCAAAAGTTGGTCCCAGTGGCTCCAGGTATCAGTAATGAGGAGTTGGATCCTTACCTGCTCATAAGGTGGGTGGTGACGTGGTTCTTCTTCAATATTAAACCTACAGCACGAAGTTTTTTCAAGGACTCGATTTCAAAAAGCTGGGTTGCGGACATAGAACAGATTCCACCCAGCTGGTGTCAACAACTACCAACACCTGACTTACGACAGGTCCAGAACTATCTAACTTCACCGACAGACTGCAACGACCAATCACAGCTGACGTACATTTCTTGAGTCGCCTGGTCAATAGCACAAAATAAAAACCAACCAATTTTTTTGTCATGAACCAGACCTATAACGTAAGACTGTCCAACAATTCCCCACGTGATTCTGATGATGACTTCCGCTTAATTGTCGACAATCTTTATCAAGACTACCCTCACTCTGACGATCCCACAACTTTTTTTTCTGAAGCATTTCAGCAGGCCACAATCTTAAATTATTGATTCTTTTTGGCTAATCGCGCGCCCGTAACCGGTTCAGCTTTTAACAAGACGGACCAAGGTCCGGAATTTTTTCGAAGTTGAAAAGATTAAACCAGCAGAGAATAATGAATAAGTTGTCTACTGGTCTTGGTCGTTCCATTTTGTGGTTCCGTCCCCAGTTATTGACATGCATTACGTACAAAAACAGTGGATAGCTTCGAAGGCGTGCTCTGATTGGCTACTCAAACTCCGAAAATCCTTCGCTTTCACCTCTGAGCGTCGCGCGCGGGATTTGCGTTCGAAAATGTTATAATCATTGCGAAAACATGAGTTCAAATTATCTTTTTGTACTGTATTATCTCACTGGTTCTAGTATATACTAAAATAACTATTTGCCTCAGTCCGAACCGGACCTGGAACATTCGACCGACAACAACTATTCACCTGACTCTGATGACTTCCGCTCAAGTTGTCGAAGCGTCAGTGACTACTACCAATAACATTCCTCAGGGCAACACTCACCTGGACGATCAGATTACACTATCACATCTTCATATTCCTCCTTGTCGCGTGGCTAGCGGTATCCACCACTAGCTACCTCCACATCGGTGAACAGTTATCAAATATTTACGTCCATACTACATATCATACGTTTTGATCGATGAAAAAAGCAGAAGAGTAAGTTTGTTAATGGCTGTGATATGATAAGATTTGGGGTTATCAGACTTGAAGAGGCTACGTAGTAACTTAAGGCGAGAAAGACCATAATTTTTATATGTCATTAGCGGTGTTGTACTGTTTGTAGTCTTTGTTGTTGTTTGGTTGTTGTAAATTTGATGACTTTTATTTTCCAGTATGATACGTTATCTGCTGTTTAACGCCAAACTCAAGATGATGAAGACCGGAGAGACTCAAGGCGTGGAACTTTGTGATACGTAAGTCGCTACCAGTTTTGGCCTGTCTATGTTTTGTGACTTGTGGGCTTATATTAGAATATTAAAGGGACATTAATTTTGAGTTTCATTTGAAAACCTCCTAAGGAACGCCCATTTTCATTGAAAGCTATTACTCTCTCCACGAGACTCAACTTCCTACTAAGAAAATTATAGGCGCACAAGCCGCACAAGTAATGCAAGGTGCGTAGAAAGGGACAGACCTTAGCTTGCCCACCTGTAGTAAACAAGCTCGCCCCTTGTCGTAAAACAAGCTCACCCCCTGTAGTAAAACAAGCTTGCCCCCCCGTAATGAAACGAAACCGCCCACCTGTAATAAAACAATGTCGCCCCCCTGTAGTAAAACAAGATCGCTCACCTGTAGTAAAACAACCCCGCGGCCTATAGTAAATAAAGTTCCCCCCCCAAACCTTACAACTCGTCTAATGAATTCTTAACTCTACCAAAGAACCAAAAGAAAATTCAAGGATAGTAATAAAAGTAATCAAATATATAATTGGTAATTAGTAATGATGCTATCAATGTTTTTGATCTCATTTTGTCAAAGGTACCTTGGTCACGTGGACTTAATGAAGTTTTTAGTGGAGTCTAACTGTGGTGATATTCCTTCACTGCGAGATCTCATGCGTCAAGATTCAGCAAGGTGCAAAGTTAGGGAGGGGAAGGTCTTGATAAATGTTGTACATGAGCAGCTAACTAATTGTAATTTCTCAATAAAATGAAAATTACATTCACAAGCAAAAAGGTGATGAGAAAAAGGAAAATTTTTCAATTGAAAACCAAACTCTCAATAGTAAACGCTCAAGAAATATTTGAGCGATTAAAGGAAGAATTGATTTAAGATCCTAGGGGGGTTGTGAGGGTTAAGTTTGCGACTGGAATGCGAAGATAGGAGATTTGAGTTACTCCGTCATACCGCAGACCATATCAGGTATAAACCAAGGAAGGTAGAGAAGTGATACGTTCCATAACCAGTGATAAGGTTGTAGGAAAAGGAGGAAGTGCATCAAGTGCATCCTTACTCAGCAAAGGCTCAGAAAGGCTCCCAAAGGAATGGGTAAGAAAGGTTTAAACTACCCACATACATTGAAAAGAAGGAGCGCCCATCCGTAGACCCCGACTTCACATACGTTGGTGATGTGGGTGGGAAGATGAGGAAACCTTTTGAGTGAATGCTGTGGACTAAAATGGGAAACATTCTCTGTGCAATATAAGTAAATGAATATCTATGAAGCTAATGAAGAAAGGAAACAAGAAATAGAAGATGTAATGATTTTTAGCCACGGAACGTAAGGAAAATCATCAAGGAATGCCTGTTAGGCTGATATAACACAGCATCACGTTGACTTCACAGTTTTTCACAGTTTTGCTTTCTTCTCTCTGCCCACGACAGGCGTCTTCGTGACCGTTTCATTGAAGCAGAGCGACTTTCACTAGCCATGGAAGTTTCCACAAAGTGCGGCCTTGATCCCTCAGGGGTGTGGGGCGCAGCAGGTTTTGCTCTTCTCCAGGCTGGAGATTTCACCGGGGCTAGAGAAAAGTTTTCCCGTTGCATGAAGGTGAAAGAGCTTTTTTGAAAATGATTTCTTAACTAAGGTTTAGAGAAATTATGAAAGGAGAGTAAACGTTAATCTGATGGTTTTTTGTTACTGTTTTAGTGCTTTCCTTGATAGATTCAATATACTTATACTATCGTCCTCCCAAGCTCTGAGGCCTTCTCTAGCAAATGATGGGAATGAAAATGTCTGTTTTTTTTTTGTGCTACTCTCTCAACCACTGGTTCTGTCTTAAAATGTTCCTCCTTTTTTTCAGCCTGAAGAGGGAGGGAAACAACAACAGCAGTATAACTCGCAATATCTGGAAAAGATCATTGAAATCTTACAGTCATCTCCATTACTAGCCTATAGACAGGTAGGAGTCAATGGGGTTTTTAAGTCTAACGCTCCCCCCTCGGGAAGTACCCAGTGTTGGCCTTTCAACAAGGGAACTGGGATGGAGTATGGCCATGAAAGTACATCTGAACTTTGTTAAAGTACGACAGAGAATGAGTAAATAAAACTGAAAGTGTTTTGAAGTGCAGAGCATTGTTTCTAAAATCAATTCCACTTGACGCCTGATGCCTGGTTTTTCTTGTAACTTCTTGTGATATTTATCTCAAATTTTCATTTATTTTCAGTCCACAGATGATCTCATGTCTCCGTTCCTTGGACTATTGGAACACGGTCGAGTAAGATAATCTTTATCAGTAGTTATAACCTTTTGATAATACTTTGCAAAGCAACACGTTTCACAGAACAGAACTTCCTTGTTTAAAAAAATAGACAGAGACAAAACGTGATTTGAAGCAAGCGAGCTGGTTTTAACATTATGGAGCTTACGCCGGTTGACAGGAAATAATCGAAATATTGTCAATTTTCGTTTTGAATTATGTGTGATATGTTTTTAATATTTTTACTTCTTTAATTGCTCGCAGAATTTCCAAAGAGGTGATTCATACCTAGATCCCAAACGGTTCGACGAGTGCTTGCATTATCTCCACACGTACGGTAGCCCATCATCCCTTGTGGCGTTCTACGTCAGACACGGACATCTAAAGCTGGCTTGCAGATACATCTTGGACCAGGTATGAAAACATTCTTGCGAAAAAAAACAAACGAGTAAGGTAGAGAAATGTAAGTTTTGTCCTCGTTTTTAGAGTGTTCTAAACCCTTGAAAAGCGCAGAGGTCTGTCATAGTTTAATACTGGTACTAACGATCGTCCTGCCGTGAAAAATCAGTTGATACTACGCGTGCAATTTTTTTTTCTTCCTTCCTCAGCAATGTTCCGTAGAGGTATTTATCGAAAGTTTGTTTATGCGCCTCGTGATTAAAGGCAAATTTGCGCTGCTGAAGGAACAGATGGAAATTACAGATCCGACTCTACAAGCGTGGATGCCTTATTTGACCGCAGCTTGCAAGTTTTTACTTCGAAGAAGTTTTCACAATCTGTTATATGAAGTGCAGGTGTTTATGAGGGTAAGTCAAATGTTCTAACAACATTTAAAAGGGAAATATCGCCTGAGGAATATATGTTTATATGTTTAGAGTGTGAGACTAAACGGGATTCTCTTCCTCTCAGTTTGTGTTTAGGCTTGAAGTGGCTGCCAGAAAAACAGTAGCCATCCCCCCATGCATGCGCATAAACGAATAAGACGTAACCTCACTGTGATCGAGATTAACCTCCTCGAAGCCCCCTGCCCCTCCCCTAAGGAGGAAGAGCGAAGGAAGTATCCTTGGAAGGGCTAGTGCTCGAAAAGTCCGCTTTAGAAACTCTGTACGGTGGCCAATCCACATTATCAACTCAGTTGATAATACCAAATTATTTTGTTATACTTTCCCAACGACGCAGCGCGGCAGCTTCTTTAGAAACTTACCCCCTTTAAACCATAATATTAACGGGTTTTGAGGCCTTCTGTCCTATATTCTGTGCATCAAGCACTGCGATACATTTTCGATTTGAATCATTGGTCCACAAAATTGCATGAACGAATCATTCATACCTCTTATGCCTCTTGCCTCACAAAAATAGCTCCGTGAGTGACTGTTGATGTGTAACCAGGGCTGAGTTGTTTGACATTCAGCACCAATACGGCGGATAAAAGTGTCACAACAGCATCAGGGTTTGTTAATGTTTACTCCAGGGTAACAAATTCGGCCTGTTAGTTTATCCTACTCTCTCACAGGCTACCCATCATTGTTGTAACACAATCCACCTTTCTCTTCTTTATCCTTTCCAGGATTTCTTTCGCGCCGCTCAAACTTGTATCCGATTTTATGAAGGAGTGGCTGGAGGCTCTGTAACGTCCTACGAGGACTTGTACTCAAGACTGCACTACCTCGAGGAAGCCAAACAGCACATTGAAACTGTAATCGCCGAAAAAAAATCTCCCAAGGGAACGTTAAACACAGTGTTTGCGTATTTACGCCAGCGTAGCACGGGCAGTGTAAAGAGTGTGACTGAAGAACCATCTCACTTTGCCATGTCACTGTCGGAGTTGAACAGTCACTTGAACACAATCAATTTACAGATAGAGGTCACTAATTTCATGCACCAGTGTGCGGTAGAAAGAGGAGGACCCGGCATGCTACGGGCCAGTGAAGGGAGTCGTCTGCCTACCTTATTCGGAAATGGACATGTGAGAGGAGACATGGTCGTGCAGGTAAATGTTGTGTTCTTCGATTAACGCCACAAACAGACATTAGTTTTTAAAAAACTTTCTGTCATGAAGAAAGATGTTAATTTGAAAACGTCAACCCAAATAGGGCATTTTTTTGGTCATATTTATTGAACACTTCCCTTTTAGTTAGAAATGATTGCCACACAGTTCCATATTTTTCGGTCATCATTAGATAGGCCAAACTTTAGATTCAACCGAAATTCCCTTCATACAGCGAGGATCAGAAATTTACGTAAGCGTCTCGTGTATAGATAGTGAATTTCGCACGGGAGAAACAGTATTCTCTGATGCTTCTTACGTTATCGACTAGGTTTTCATTTCTTGATTGAATATGTACAAGGCAGACTGTGATCGACCGCGGTATCTTTCTCAAGTACTCCATCATAAGAGTCCATTGTGTTTACCTGACCCTACGTTTATTCGCCAAAACGTCTATTGTACACCTTACATCAAGAAAAGTTTACACTTTTAACTATTTCTTGTACTAGATAATTTGGTTCCATCAACAGAGTTGATGATATAAATTTGCCACCGTAAAGAGTTTTTTAAGCTGACTTCTCGACGTAATTCACTCTGATGAACAGCTAACGCTCGAGACGTCGCGTTAGAAACTCTCCACTATGGCTAAGTTAAATTATCAACTTCGTTGATAAAACTAAATTATCTTAGTTGTAATACCTTGTGTGTGACGAAGCACCAAAGTTTTGTTGGGAAACTACCCCTTATATTTCTCGTGATGAGGTTTCCGCATTTACACTTTAGTATAATTACACACAGAATTCACTTAGGTTTGGTGTAATGTCAGTAGGGTTTTTTGTATTTTTTTTTTCTTATCTGAAGTCAAGTATTTATATGATTTTTCAAGTGCATCAGTAGCTTATGAAGTTTCTCTATCGTACTTTGTTTATTACCGTCTAGGTTCTTCTTGCTGGAACATCAATTCAAGATGGTTTTAGTTTGGCGAGTCGGATAATTCAGGTTTGTTTCTGAATTCTGTTGTCGTTGTTATTAGTAGAGAGTCTGGTGAATCTTGGATGGTGTCGAACTTTGTCTTAATACACAATCATTTCGGTCGTTTTTTACGTACCTTCACTTTCAGTTTTTCCCTTGTCTCATTTTAAAACAAACGTAAGATCACTGTCAACAAAGCATATTTCGGTTGAATGTCGTAAAACCAAGACCATAGTTATTATGTCGGTCGATGCAAAGAGAGGAAAATTTCTCAAAGAATCATTAAGAAATCAAAGGAAAAACAAGCAAACTGCCCGAAGTGCATTAAAGTGCGGGTGAATACGTCCGGATTTGTTCCCTTTTTCATCTGAGGAGTGTGCAGGATGGCGGGAGTTTTCTAGACCACTCATAGTGAGCTAAACCAAAGTTAATGCAACCCCTAAATTAATAATTTCCCAGTAAGGGTTTTTTTGTAGTCTGAAAACTTGATTATCGTGTGTCTTACCTCTCAGGATTATAACCTTCCGGCGGCTCGTGTTTACGTAGACACTGGCCGCTCGCTGGCTCGACAATACAAGTATTCACTCATTGAGGAACTTCTGCATTTCTCAGGAGAGACTGGACAAGTAACAGATAAATGCCACGACGACATCATTTTGGCATGCGTCAGCATCGTGGCTGCTGACCAAAGTCAGGTGGGCTCTGTTTTATGGAAGATATGTTCACTGATTGTGATTGTCTATTTTAAAGTTCGTTTGTAAATATGCGAGTGTCCTTTCTAATAAAATCGTAACCTTTCTTCGCAGGCAAAGTACCTGGAAGGACTGATAAAACATTTAAAGACCGACATCAACAAGGTAAAACAGTATACTCCCTAAGAGTAAAGAAGTTAATTAAGGCCAGTTTGGAATAAAGAAATTATCATTGAGAAACCATGTGGGATTTTATTTATTACTGGCCAAGATGGGAAGATAAAGGGGGTAGGGCTCTAAAGAAACTGTGCTGCTGCGTGGGTGCGGGTTATTCCATGATGAATATAGGGGATACGTTACTAAAGAAACTGTGCTGTTGCGTTAGTGCGGGTTATTGTATGATGAATATAGAGGATACGTTACCAAAGAAACTGTGGAGCTGCGTCAATGCGGGTTATTACATGATAAATATAGGGGATACGTTACTAAAGAAACTGTGGCGCTACGTCGGTGGGGGGAAGGGGGGGTACCCGGGATGATGTAACTCGCTCGAGGATATAAATGTATAACAAAAAATGAGTAAGATGATAAAGGGGATTTTAACGTTGCAGATAGTTTTATTTCCCACTACTAGTATCTGGTTTGGTTAATAAAGCGGCTGACAACGCTGAGGGCTCTTTCATCCTTTTGAAACCACATGTAACCCATATAAAGTTTAAGATGATCAGGGTTGAATTTATCCTCACTCTGTCGTTCACAAGTCGTAGGAAGAATTTGTGAGCATTTGGTAACAGCACTCTTACAGATTTCGGGGTTGCCATTTTCAATCGAGTGTCGGAAGTATTACGAGAATTATGTTTGGTTTTCCATTGCTCCGTGATTGGTCAGAAGAGTTGAACCACTTTCTTAAACAATCGGATTCAGACAATTTCTTGTTTTTATTTTGAGTTCTAATTGGCTCTTTGTTATATTCTCCTTTCATCTGATTGGTGATTGTGATTACTTTGATTTCGTTATACGACCCTCAGTCGAATTGCGCTCCATTCGACATAACCCGTGTTTATAAGTCTTTCTCCATTTATCATTTTTTCGTTTTTTCTTTCCTTAAGATAAGCGCTTTCATCATGTGCGGCAAGCTGAAATCCGCCTACCTAATCGCTGTCCAAGGTAATCGTGTGGACGCCATTCGAGAAATCGCCGATGTGGCGGAGAAATCAGGTCAAAGCAAAATGGTGGAGATATGTTGCAAGTTTTTGACACAGTACGAGAAGCAGAGGGCTGCCACGGAGCGCCGAACTGCTGTACAACGAAAACACGGGGCAGAATCAAACAGATAACGCCCAACCGGACGATTTGGTGATGCTGTGACCCATGCCATGGGGAATGAGGAGAGTTTTCGACTGATTGTTTTGACCCCCTCCCCTGTCTTAGAAAATGGCAAAGCAAAGGAAATGATGGAAATTACCAAACAATTAGACATAACAACCAAGGAAACATAACGTATCATGTTTGGCTCGAAATTCTAGAAAATCGTTTCGATCAATATAGGGAAAAGTTATTAAAAAGTAGGCAAATTTTGTACAAGTATTTTTTCATTGAAAAATGGGCATTAAACTAGAAAATTATGAAATGAGAGACATTGAAAAATTTATATTCGTATATTTATTTCAGCTGATCTGTAGACCTTCGGTCACATATGGAATTCAAAGTGTATTCAATAAATTGTGCAAACCATCTATTGAAGTTAAATTCCTGGTTATAGTTTGTCAGAATTTTTTCGTTACTCATCTCTTATATCCATCACGACAAAAAGTGAATTCGTTTTAATGAAGAAGGAAACAATTGCCGAGGCAGCAATTAAGGTGAACAGGAGAAGTGGTAGCTCTCGTCCAAAGAGGTTTTTCAGTTTCGTAAATAAAAATTAATGCAGAGAATAAAATGGCTGTAATTCTGATGACAAGTAGTTTCACAGTCGAAGCGGGATTTAGTGGTGAGAGGAGGGGGCCTCGGCCTACCCACCCAGCCACCCACCCAGCCTTATTTTGTGTGTTGTTATGCACTGAAACTGTTTTTATTTCTTTTTTGTGTGAGTTCGTTTAGGATTTTAGTTTTGTTTATTTGTTTGCTTATTTTATTTTGTCAAGTTTTCCTCATTTCTGATATATTTCGTGTTGATATATATATATATGATCAACCCCGACAATTTTAAAGCTCCTTAGTGGATAACCTGAAAAAAATTCGCGCTAAACTTCAAATGTGACAGGCGTTCTTCTATGTAGTAACGAGGAACGCTGGAATTGAACATTATCCAGCGGTGTGCTGTGCTGCATTATCAGGAGAGTATGTTCACAAAGATGGGTGGAAGAGTAGGGGGCTCACGCTCTCGCCACAGTGATGTTAGTTAAGAAATTTTCTGGATCCGTCCCAGCAAATATAACTACTAGTTACGTCTGAAGACACCCCTATTTTTTCAGAGGATTGGGGCAAAGGGTTTTGTTCTCTCGTTCCCCTTCCCCCGAAACAGCCACCGAAAACTGTAGTGGACCTTAAGTTTGTGAAGTGTATGGACTTCATATAAACAAATCCAAACTAAAATAAAATAATTATCAATTTGAGTGAACTGGAGTAAACCTTTCTGTTGCGCAGTAGTGTAACACAGTTGACATGTTGTTTCTTTGTGCTTGGTAGAGAGTGGGGTGGAGGGCCATCATTAATTAAGTTGTAGCCAACTGATGACGGCCAGGAAATAGCATCCTCACTAGCTGCGAACCAAAAAAATCGCATCATGAGAAGAGAGCGGTTTGAAGGAAATATTTAACTAAATAAAGAGATAAAGAGAACGCGGGCCGAATGATTTAAAATGCTGGCCGTTTAAAGGAGTCTGGCAATAAGCGGGGCAGTTTTATAGGTTAATTCCTTTGACCGTTAGGAGTGAGCAGTATCAAATTACTTATGACAATATCACCCCCGCATCACGCATTGAGGTTATGAGAATAAAGGAAATGACTACCGACTAAAGAAGCTCCTGATTGTGCAACACATTCTCCTTGTCAGCGGCTTAGGAAATGTAGAGTGAACACTGGAAAATATGTAAAATGGTTAAAGGGTGTTGAGGCTTAAGATGTAGGTGATTAGAAGGTTGACTCGGTAATGTGGAGATGGCTTAAAGATGAAGGCAACTGTAGAAAATTAGTCAGACGTAGATAAAGACAGACTGGACTTCTCATTCTGAGCTGATCATCCGAACATTAATCCTGAACTGTGTCTGGTTGTAAATTCCACTAGAAAAAAATGTAACATAGCTGGAGCAAGCGATCTTAACTTAGTTTATTGAATACCTCTTCGTATTTATTCAAGCTACATTGCATCCCCAGTGTTATCCATACAAATTATCATTAAAGATTACATCAGTCAAATTGACTCTCAAGACAAGAGAGAAAGGTCCACAGCCTTCTTTTCCCCAGCCCGTAAGTGGTGCATGTTAAACTTTGAGAAGGCTAAAAAAAACACAAGTGGTAATTGTGGCTGAAATATTTCTTTAAGATATTTAATATGTTTAAGTAACATAATGTTTGAATGCTGATTTGCTGATTTTCTTAGACAAAACAATGGAGATCAGCAAGAATTGTCTGAGAGTTTTCCCAGCCTAAATCTACGGTGACACTCAAAAAGGAGTCCGCGCCCCATACCCAGGAACGTTTCCTAAAGGTACAGATATCTTGGGCTCGAAATTACAAGAGTCCTCCGTCTCTTAATGATTAAACTCTTTCTGCATCCGCGTTTTGCTATTCTACCAAAATGTATCCCATGGCCCTTATACGTTTCTCTTCATTATCTGATTGCTGCCGTGCCTCGTTACCACACGAACTGTCGTAATCAGGTAAACCGCCTGTACCAAATCCAATCCGTGATGTGCAAAATAAGCAACGGCGGGCTCGGTAGAAGAGGTCGCCAATAATACCAATTCTAGCTTTTGAATATTGGTTGCGGTTACAAACAACATTAAAACCTTCCCTGTTGCAATGAAGCTGCAAAGAGGCCTGTGAACCAATCAACTCTTTCCATGTGTCACGACCCAGTGAGGTTGAGCGGTATTGCCCATCAGCAATCAATGTATACAAAGAGTCAGCCTTCTTGTTAATCACGATAAAGTTGAGCTGATTTCCAATCTTCATACCGAGACAGATCTTGGAGAAGGATGTGTCCCAGTAGGTAGGCAGTTTCGTTTCCAGTTCGTCAAACCCAGTCTCCCCTCCGGGAAGGTTGTATACTTCGTAATCCTTCCAATAATGCGAGTTAAAATGAAAGGTGGGCTGAAAAAGAGTAATGAAACAGTGGTTCAGCTCCTCTGTGAAAACATTTTGCAAATCGATCCTAAATCTCAGTTTATTAAATTCATTTCGATATCACTGGTGCTGTTTCTAGTTTCATTTCCTCTCAGCAGAGCGAAATATTTACAAATCACATTTTTTTCGCTCTAAATTGCCTTCATCTCTTTCTCTGGGAATCAGACTCAATTCAGATTTGAGTATTCTAATTGAGGTATTTACATATTGCACTAACTTTTTATGACCCGAATCCTATTATTAGGTGATTTAGTTGTGTGATGTCGAAACGGATGATACGAAGTGCATCATCTAACATCATAGGTGTGATTTCAGACCAAATCGCCCTTAACTCACTTCAATTAAACTGTACAAGAGAACAGGCCGGACGCGTTCACCGTGCTAATCTCCATCTCATCGTTACTAATCAGACCAAGCTTTAATTGTCCTTAATTGAGTGTCGTGAGTGATCCGCTTCAAATGCTAATTAACTCAAACTAATTCCGAGTTGAAATTGGTCACTCGCGTTTCCCAGCGCCTAAGGCATGCGCAGTTTACTTGACAACTCCGAGGTCAATTTGTCTGCTCATAATTTCTTTTTTTTTTTTTTTCCTGATCCGCCGTTATGATAGCTTTGGTTATGGTTCTACAAGACTCAATCAAAAAGCGCTCTAATTCCTAATCATTCCGCGAAGAGAGCGATTCCCTTTTTTAACGTAGTTACTATCGTCATCATCATCATCATCATCGTTATCGTCATCGTCATCGTTATCGCCATTATTATCATCATCTTTATTGTCATCGTCATCGTTGTCATTGTAGTTGTCGTCGTCATCGTTATCGTTATCGGCATCGTCATCGTCATCGTCATCATTTATCACTTATTTTGTAAATTTTCCCACGCGCTTCTTTAACATTTATAGTCATTAAATAAAGCCACTTATTTCAGTGGGTTACGAAGTCTTGGAGGCATTACGGCTTCGTGAATCTCAACAAAAGCACACACACATATACAGAAGGAATTAAACAACAAAAACCGAACCCAAAAAAACCAACAGAAAAACTATGGCACCTCGGTGCCGTTAATCTTCATGACCGGCGTCTATCCTCCAAATCCACATCCAAAATCTCCCATGTGACAGAAAACGGAGGTTGGCTCTGAGCCAAGATACAGGGTAACTAGTTGGCTGACATTAGACCTGGTGACCAAGGACAAAGAAAACCACTTAACATATAAAACAGATACAGTTAACTGCTATACATGTACGCTTTGAATCATGACTCCATGTAGTCCCAGCATAAATAATGACTAGTAACATGTTATGAATTTAATTTTTGTTCGTAAATCTTCTCCTCGCCCAATCTCCTCGATCGAAGGACGATCAGGCTTTCTCTTCAGAATTTCCCTGCGTGAGGAAGACTAGGCCTAGGATTCGGCTAAATTTCTCCTAATGAATAACTTCGTACCGGGTCACTATTCCTTACTACTTTTCGTATGGCTTAGCAACTTATTCGATAATATTTTTTTCTAACAAAAATAAACTAGGCCTTACTCTAGAGGGATAGCAAGAGCATAGAAGAGCTGACTGCATTATCTCTTAGTCATGGGCCAGGAATCTCAAAAATGACCTTTCGGTAGCACGGGTGAAGTAACACTACTATGCATATTTGGAAATTGCAATTAATCTAGTTTAATATTATATATAACATATATGATGAGTTGCTGAACAGTTTTTCTGGTCTAAATCTATTCCGTGGTCAGTCTATAGACCTCAATTTAGTTACTTTTGGGAAAACGTAGTTTTCGCGATCCAAACTTAGTCACTTTGTGTTTATCTATCTACCTTACGAAGTCTTTTAAGTATATCATCCTTAAAATAAATTGATACATTTGGTAAACTTAATGCAGAACACTTTACTCTTCACCTACCGCACAAATATTTTTGTACGTCTCAATCTTCCTATTTCGAAATAACTACTAACAAGGATTTTCTTACTCCAAAATCCCGAAAATGTGCGACCCTATCCTAATAACACTATTGAAAATGCAATCCTATCATAGTCGACCCAGTCGTAAAAATGCGACCGCTTCGAGCTTCCTGTTAGCAAATTAGAAGGAACTAACCCCTCCCACTCCTCCTTTGGGTTATTTGCAATGGCTTGATAATGTTGTTGCAGCTTAGAACCAAGAAACATTTTTAGAAAGATACTTACATAAAGACGTCATAATGTTCCTTGCAAGATGTTACTTTTACTGAAAAGCAAAAAGGAAGTGTTCGCCATCTTAAACCGCTTAAAATATCTGACAAAACTGTCTTTAATAATCTTAGTTCTGATTTTATTGATTTCCATGGCCAACGATAGATTCCTAGTACCAAAGTTTCCTTTTTTATTCAATGCTATGGATTTAAATATTAACGTCATTTCCTTCTTTTGTCAGTGTGTGTTCAGGTATAACAAAGTTCTTGACTAAGCATATTGCATATTTTTTAAAAAACAAAAAAGAAGGGAGAAAAAACAGTTCTCCCTTTTCCGAGACGGAATCAAATTACATGGATCCCTTCCCGCCATCCAAAGGGTGCAAGAGGAACTTCAGAGGCATAAAGATTTAACAATAACTTTAGAAGAACAATTTGAATTTTTCACGACAACATATTTTTAAGAGAAGGACTAATGATAGGGTCATTACCCTTTTCACAATATTCTCCCACATAACATTTTTACAAAGACCATGACGAGCTTTGCTCACCAAAAGAATTTATGCAAATGAGGCTGAGGCAGATCTGAGATCCGCCTGGCAATTATTAACTGTAAGAGAAGAACTGACTTCGCGCCCACAGAACGACCGAGGTGTTGCGGATAAAAATTTTCAGTAATTACTTTTTTGGCACTTTTCGGCTTCCAAATTGCGTGGCGAGAGTAACCCAAAACCCTAAAGTAGACCCTTCTTGTCACAATACGAATGTTTTTCAGATAGGGACACGCGTTAATGTCAGCTTTACTCGCGTGATTGCATTTTTAAA